GGGGGGGGGCTGTAGGAAGCCAGAGATAGATGTCCAATTCTGCTCTATTTCGAGACGACCATTTTTATAAGTTCATGTGACTAGCAGCTTTCTGAGGCGGAAACAAGACTTTACTGTCTATACGAAATCGGAAGCTAAGCGATGTCCTAACCCTAACCCTGACCCTAAACCTGACCATAAGCCTAACCCTGACCCTGACCCTAAACCTAACCCTGACCCTAAACCTAATCCAAACCCTGATCCTAACCCTAACCCTAACCCTAACCCCCAGAAGGGGGACGCCCACTACGACTGCAGCTGCCTGCCAGGTGGGGGGGGACCAACGCCCCACGGGGGGGGGGGGGGGGGGGGGGGGCTATGGCTGTTGTCTGCAGGAAGCCAAGGATGGGTGTCCAACTCCGCCCACTACCCAAATCGGCCATTTTGATTAGGTGACTAAACGAAACTTTACTGTCTATAAGAAATCGGAAGATAAACGATGTCCTAAACCTAAACGTGACCCTGACCCTAACTCTGACTCTGACCCTAATACTCCACCCTAACCCTAAACCTAATCCTAACCCTGATCCTAACCCTGACCCTAAACCTAAACCTAACCCTGACCCTAATCCTAACCTAAACCTAACCCTAATCCTAAACCTAACCCTAAACCTAACCCTGAACCTAATACTCCACTCTAACCATAACCCTGATCCTAACCCTAACACTGACCCTAACCCTAACCCCTTATCCTAACCCTAAACCTAACCCTAATCCTAACCCTGACCCTAACCCTCCACCCTTCATAATTGTGAGAAATAAGTTTGGATTCAGTGTTTGCAAGATTCATTTCACTATTTTTAAATTAATGTCTATATTGCCATGAAGCAATTAGGATTTTCTTGCCTGGGATCTTTCTATTGGTGACCTAATCAAAATGGCCGACTTGGATGTAGGGAGTTGGATATCCATCCTTGGCTTCCTGCAGCCAGACGGACTCGGCTGACCTCAGAAACTCCACCGTTGTTGTGCTGTAATCTGATTGGCCGAGGGGCGACCTGGGGTTGCCCCTCTCTGCCAGCCTCCCCTGGCAGGAAGTTTCCCCACAGACGTTTCCTCCCGATAATGGCCAGAGACCCCCCCGTCCACACGGACTTATAGAAACACACAGACTGACCCAGATATCTGCCCCCCCGGTCAGAGGGCCGTTCCTGTTGTTCTGGAGAAACTTTCCCCTCAAAACCAGCCTCCTGGTTTCATCTGAAAAACATCTAAATTCATCTGAAAAATTATCTAAATTCATCTGAAAAATCATCTAAATTCATCTAAAATCAGAATCAGAAATACTTTAATAATCCCAGACGGAAACTATTTTTGTTAGCAACTCCAGATGTACAACAGCATATACATATACACATGTCTGTACATACATATATATATATATATATACAGTATACACACTATATATATATATATATATATATCATAACAAATATAAATAAATACAATATATACATATGTAACTATATGTCTATATACAGATCTATAATAAGTGACAATGATAATGTGAGAACATATATATATATACATACAACTTTCCAAACAAAATATAAATAAATATATACATATATAACTATATGTATATGTAAATGTGTATATGAATGTTATGATAAAGTGATAATGATAGTGTGAGAAGAATAAATAAACGGTAATAAATGTGTAAGAAGGCCCGATCGGACCCCGGTGAAGCTTTGAGTGTGGCCTTTATTTATTTATTTTTCTGTGTTATTTTTGAGGCTGTGCAGCTGAGTGGGGGGGGAGAGTGGCTGTGGGTTAAAGTTGAATCCACGCCGGGTGTCTGCTGTGGAATGTGGTCAGATAGCGGATCTCAGTGGTCACTAACTGGACCGGCTTTAAAACGCCTACTCAGCTGCACAGCCTCAAAAATAACAGAAAAAAATAATAAAGCGCACTCTCAAAGCCTAACCGGGGTCCGATCGGGCCTTCTTACACATTTATTGGCATTTATTTATTCTTCTCACACTATCATTATCACTTATTATAGATCTATATATATACATATAGTTACATAAGTATATATTATATTTATTTATATTTGTGTAGAATGTGTATACATATATATATATATATATACAGTGGGGGAAATAAGTATTTGACCCCTTGCTGATTTTGCAGGTTTGCCCACTTACAAAGAATGCTTATTTTTCCTCATCAGATGGTTATCAATTTTTATAAATTCATATGATGTGATTTTCTGGAATTTTCTTTGGGATTCTGTCTTTCACTGTTAGAATGTACATATGATTAAAGTTA